AGTTTGGAGACATTAGCCTGGCAAGCCCCGACTTTCTGTTTGAGGACAGGAGGGTGGGCACATAACTCCGTCATGTTTGGTGACGATCACAATCCACATGCATTTTTTCTTTCCTTTTTAGTTCACATGAGAATGGTTGCGGGTAAAGACACCAAAATATTTTATCAGAATTGCTTTTCGTTTAGACGGTGATGGTGTTTTTGGGGATTAAAAATGCAAAAATCTGAAACCACCCTCCACAGTGGAAAAGTTGAATACGCTTCGCTGTAGCGTTTCCCTCTGCATCGCCCAAGACGCAAAACTCTGGTCAGATCTGCTCACGTCGCGTACGCATTTACATCACATACATACAGTACACAGAAACTGGCATGCATATCGTATTCCACACACTTTTGCGTCACCGTATGCATGCAGATTTCCTCTCGAAACTGCTCGTCTAAACGTGGAATAAAAAGTGAAGACGCGATGCCACTTTTGCTTTTTCTGTTCAGACCGTCGTCATTTAAACGTAGCCTCACTCACAAGCCAAGACGCTCTGTTTCTGATTGGTCTCATCTGCCTCTCAGTCATGTCCATGTAATTTCTGGCAGAGAAAACATGATCTCAAACAAATTGTTGTGGGAAGTCAGAAGTATAGAAAAGTTTTGGTTTTGGACGCCCAGACTAGACCATCCGAAACTCTGAAACTGTGATCTTACTCTGTGACAATCTGCCAAAAATAATGTCATATTGTGATTCTTTTATTTCCCGTTGAATTCAGGTTTTGCGCTCAGAGATGCCATCTACCTTTCCCCATCCACCCCTCTGACTGGACAGCAGAGTAAAGTGTAAAATGTGAAGAAGAAGCTGCTTTTTTTACGTCTCAAAACCTGCATAGAGGAATTCCTTTAATACTTAAGTTGAGAGAAAGACTTTGAAAATAAAAATGATGCCATCCCTTGATCTGAATCTACCACCACGAGACTCCATGATGCTGAAAATCTTAGTGCGTGTCTCTGATTTGGAGATTAAATTGTGTTTCCATTAACTCACGCTGCTCTTTCTCCCTTTTTTGATTCCTTCTATGAGTTTGATGTAGGCCTAGATCCGTATATTTCAAAATGCACATCTATTTCCTATTTCCTCAACTCCTGATGTGAATGTCGTTGAGTAACAGAAGTAGCAGTAGTTGTTGCCCTAGTTCTTGAAATCTGCCTTTGTTTCCCTCCTTTCTTCTTCTTCCTCTAGCCGGTGCTGTTCATTACGCAGTCTGGCATCCACGGAGTTCAAACAAATGAGCACGAGGCTGGAACTCTGCAGCTCTGGAGTGGAGTCGGGGTTATTGATGAAGACGTATAAGACCCCCCTAAGACCAGAGCCGGGTGGCAGCAAGTTAAATGTACATGTGCAAATTAGCAACGTGCTTTGAATTTAAGGTCCTCTTTAAAACCAGTCTGAATTCTATGTTATTAATTACCGTGCATTTTTTTTCAGTCATTCCTACATTATTTTAGTGCAGATAACCTATTGCAACTGAGGCTACGTTCAGACTGCAGCCTGAAGTGACCCAAATCTGATTTTTTTTGCCCCTATGCGAACTGTATCTGATGTTTTAATGACACAGATGCGATTTTTTTTCAAATGCGATCCAGGCCACTTGGATATTTGCTTCTAAAACTGATACATATCCGATCTTTTGACATGCGACTTCAGTCTGAACGGCCAGGTCTCATTCATCCGGCTATTGTGCGGTAACAAGCACCTGTTGCGAGCCAATACAGCCCAACTCCGATGCGTTTGCTCACTGAAATAGGAAGATGTGACGATGTGTTTCCTCCTGCGAGAGTGGTACAAGTAGAAGCTCACAAATGTACACAAAAGTTCTTCTCGTCATAAGAAAATTGTGTATGAACTCCGTGTCAGTGAAGCAGAGAAGCACTTGGCAATCTCACCACTCTCCTCACTCCGACTCTGTGGCCAAAAACCTCCTCAATCTCCTCCTGAAAACAAACAAGCTGTACATATTATATTCTGGCTCCGGTACAACAGCAACTTTCAAATCTCCAGGTGCTCAATACTACACCATGTTTAGGCGACTTCTGTAAACACTGAGCGCGTTCGCTGTGTGTGACGTCGTCGTGTCCTTCAGTGTGCACGCGGGACGCTTTTGGGGTGTTTAAAGTTCACACTGGGGATCACATGCAAGTCGCATTTAATTCAAAATGTGAACGACCTTGCAAAAAAATCTGATTTCACAAAAAAATCCAAATTGAGCATTAAACCCTGCAGTGTGAACGTAGCCCTAGACTAGACGACTTATATTAGACCTGACCTATTTTTTGTCTTATCTTGTTTTGTTTATACTATTTACTTTTTGCTAGAGGGGTAACAGTCGCTCAAGTTGTTAGAATGGTAATTTTATAACCTGGAAGTTGGCGGTTCCATCCCAGTTCTGACTATTGCACACTGTTGTTGTATCCTTGAGCAAAACACTTCAGAGCCACCTTTTCTATGTAACACTGTGAATGTGCGTGTGTGTTAAGGATGTAACGATATCCAAATTTCTTGGTTTTGATATTTTTACGATATGCATCTCACGGTACGATAATCATTACAATATTTTGTGAAGGCTAACAAAACAAAACAAAACAAAACTGTGAATGTTACTTTTTCCTTTTAAAACATCACTGATTCTGCCACAATCCAAAGAACTAAGCTTAATAACAGTTATTTCTTCATGTATTCTGCACTGAAACGCAGCAAAGGATCATGGTCTATGTAGTTCCCTCTGTTTTTATGAACTATAGCTGCACCAGAACTATTACTCTAAACCAAAAGACTTCTAATTTGATATATTGTGACAGCCCACGATACGATATTTCAATTACTGTTGCATCCCTAGTGTGTGTGAGTGTGTGTGTGAGTGCTGGGTGGTAGTTAGAGAGACTATTGGCACAGATCGGTTGCCACATTTCACTCAAGCAGCCCCAGGGCGGCAGAGGGCACAGGTAGTTTCTTGCTGTTGTGGAGTGTTAATAATTAATGATAGTGATAATGAGTAGGGTAATGATAAGAAGCTGTGACCTTGAGTGCACTTTTCATAGCACACTCAAACTCAAATGCATTATTAATAGTGTTTGTATGAAAGTATTTATTGTTTTGACTTTTGTGTTGATTTCATACAAGCAATGTCCTGAGTTTGTTTGTGTGTAAATCAGGGTTGTCAAAAGTTTCGCAAATCAGAACTAGTATCAAAACTGGATACTCACAAAACTCACATTTACAGAACAGAACAGCTGAACAGCTTTAGAATGATCTTGAACTGTATCAGAACAAATATAAGAGCACATAGACTAGTGTACGCCCAAATCTGTGTAACATTAGTTTTTCAATATAAAACCAAAAATAAGAACATGAAAAAACAACAGTTTTTTTCATTATTTGTCTGCCAAAACCAAAATGAAAAAAACTTTTCGTGATGAAATGATTCGTTTTTCCAGTTTTTGATTTTGTGTTTAAATGAATAATGGAAAAAAAGGATAACGGCCATTTCCCGTTTTCATGACTTAAACTGCGATGCCGGATTTTTGCACTGCATACAGACTGAACCGGGACTAAAACAGGACTAAATCAGGACTAAATCAGGACTAAACCAGGACTAAACCAGGACTAAACCAGGACAAAACCATTTTTAGTTCTGGTCTGGTCCCAGTCTCAATCACTGTGTCAATCACGGTCTGGTCCTGGCCTCAGTCCTAGTGTCAGTCCCGGTCTCAGTCCTCGTCCTTTTCCCAGTCTCAGTCCTGGTCTCACTTCTGGTCTGGTCCCGGTTTAAGTCCCCGTCTCAGTCCCGGTCTGGTCCCATTCTCAGTCCCGGTCTGAGTCCGGGTCTGGTCTCGGTCTCAGTCCGGGTCTGGTCCCGGTCTGGTCCTGGTCTCAATCATGTTCTGGTCCTGGTCTGGTCCCGGACCCGGTTTAATCCTGATTCAGTCCTGGTTCAGTCCGTATGCGGCTCAAAAGTCCAGCATCGCAGTTTAAGATAAGATAAGATAAGATAAGATATGCCTTTATTAGTCCCACAGTGGGGAAATTCCAGTGTTGCAACGCACAATTTCAGAACAGCAGGAAAAGGTAACACAGATAATAAATAATAGCTTAAAATAATTTAAAAATAGACTTAAAAATAATTGCACATGGTTATGATTGACTGGTACATGTTCAGTGTTAGCAGTGTTTGTTGTACAATCTGACAGCAGCAGGAAGGAAAGACCTGTGAAACCTCTCCTTCACACAGCGAGGGTGAATCAGAGCAGACAGAGCGTCCTGCAGGGGGTGAGACTCATGGCCCAGCATAGAGACGACCTTAGTCAGGACCCTCCTGTCCCCCACCTCCTGCACTGAGTCCAGAGGACAGCCCAGGACAGAGCTGGACTTCTTGATGACCCTGTCCAGCTTCTTCCTCTCCCTCTCTGTGATGCTGCTGCTCCAGCAGACCACACCGTACAGGATGGCTGATGCCACCACAGAGTCATAAAAGGTCTTCAGGAGTGGCCCCCCCACTCCAAAAGACCTGAGTCTCCTCAGGAGATAGAGCCTGCTAAGTCCCAGAAACGGAAAACAGCCGTTATCCGTTTTTTCCATGATTCATTTAAACACAAAATTGAAAACTGAAAAAACAAATCGTCATCAGTTTTTTTCATTTTGGTTTTGGAGACAAAGAATGAAGAAAATAGTTTTTTTTTTGTTTTCTTATTTTTGTTTTTATAGTGAAAAACGAATGAACGAATGATACACGGATTCGCCCAGATACCCTGTGGACCTTCCTGGATTACACAGATATAAGACCGCAGAGCAACAAAGTACTATGATTTAATGTTGATAATTACATTCTGTTGTCTAAATAAAGAGTTTTTTATTATCATTGTGGTATCAGAATAAGTTTTAAGTATCGAGTCTATTCCTTAATATGGAAACTGAGTAACAACACTAGTCTAAATGAATATCTTCTCTCTGTGTTTCAGGTATGCCTGTGGTGAGTGCGTGCCCGGACAGGTAACCAGGAGCACCGCTGCTGCTGCTGCTGCTGCTGTCATGGCCTGCTCCGCTCTGCAGCTCCTCCTCCTCCTCTCGCCGCTGTCGGTTCTGACCACCACAGCCGCCCCAGAACATCCCGACCATGAGTGGCACTTTAAACCAGGTACCTGTCCTCCACCTGCTTGACAATGGACACTCAGTCACAAGAGCACTCGAGTGAAACCTGCTCCAACCTGTGTGCTCTGACGCGGTGTCCTTGGGCAAGACATTTCACCCGCTTTGCATATCGATGAGTGTGGGTTATCTGATTGTGTAGATTGGCAGCCTCTCCTTCGTCAGTCTTGAAGCTGTGAAGATGCTTTTACTTTTAGTACAGAGTGAATGAATCGTGCAGCAATTTGAGTCTTACAGTTAAAAAGTAATACATCAGATCAAAAGTTTAAAGCAATTATTGTCCATTTTACACTAGTGATGTGACAATAACAGAAATATCGTGATATCGTATTGTCAAAAGTCTCACAATAATATCATAAACCATCACAATATATCGAATTGAAATTTTCTTTGCTTAAATTCGTTGTTATGGTGCAGCATCAACAATAACAAAAAAGAGAGAACTACATATAGGGTAATTCCACCTCAGTTCACCCCCAAAAAATGCAATTTGAACCCTCATATTGTCCAGTTGCAAAGAAAATTGGTGTGTGGGTAAGTCATAGCCAAGAAAGCCAAAATCTTACATTTTAGTTTAATCGGACCAATCAAACTTAAAGAAACGCTCGCGGTGGACTTTTTCTAAATAAAAGCCAGTGAGAAACAGACGTTTTACGATAAAATAAATAAATAAATAATAAAAACTGCGTGCCCGGCCCTATGATAAATGATAAATAAGTCGATATAATAATAGTGTTGAGGTCTTGAGGTAGATTTGGTCAGGACAACCTTTGCTGCAGGATTTTGCCTTTTGTGCGTTTTTGGTTGACGGAGGAAACCAGAGTGAGAGGAGACGCACCCAGACACGAGGAGAAACATGCAAACTCTGCACAAAGACCCAGGACTAACTTAATTACAGACTTGAATTCGTTTGGTGATGGATACTGAATCATTACAGGACCATAACATTTGATTTGGAATGGTGCGTTGGTGAGATTTGGGCCGACATTTCATCCACATTCTCAGCTTTAGTGGAGTTCATTCTTTGCGCGCTCTCCGCAGCCCCTCCAGTGTCCCGTGTCCCTCTGGCCTCCGGTCGCGTGTAATCGGAGAGCGAGATTCTGGGCGGTCCCCCTCGGCTCGTCAGGACTGTTAATGCAACTCCAGCCGTCAAACTGTCCGTCAAAACGTCCTGGAGCGAGGGAGACGAGGAGAGAGACGGAGAGAGGAAAACAGAGAGAGACAGAGGGAAAGAGAGAGGGAGAATAAGAGACAAACTGAGAGAGAGAAACAGAGAGAGATAAAGAGATAAACAGAGATAGAGCGAGAGAAGGAAAGAGAGAGACAGAGGGAAAGAGACAAACAGAGAGAGAGAGAAAAAAACAGACAGAGAGAGAGAGAAGGAAAGAAAGAGACAAACTAAGAGAGATACAGAGAGAGAGAGAAAAAGAGAGACAGAGCAGAGAGAAAGAGACCGACAGAGAGAGAGAGACACAGAGACTGAGAGAGAGAAAGAGACAAACAGACAGAGAAAGGGAGAGAGAGGGTCAAACTAAGAGAGAGACAGAGAGAGAGAAAAACAGACAGAGATAGAAAGACAGAGGGGTAGACAGAGACTGGGAGAGAGATGGAGAGAAAGAGACAAACAGAGAGAGAAAGACACAGAGAGAAAAGAGAGAGGGAGAGAGAGAAACTAAGAGAGAGACAGAGAGAGAGAAAAATTGAGAGAGTGAGAGAGAAAAATGGAAAGAGGCCAAGAGACAAGAAAGGTGAGGGGGTGAGGGGTGAGACATGGGGAGAGGAAGAGAGAGAGAGAGAAAGAGACAAACAGAGGGAGATAGCGCTCGAGAGAGAGAAGAGTGGGAAGAAGAGAAAGAGAAAGAGGAACAAACAGAGAGAAAGAGAGAGCAAGACAAACAGACACAGGGAGATAGAGAAAAAGTGAGTGAGAGAGAGACAGAGAGACAGCGGGAAGGAGACAAAGAGAGAAAAACAGAGAGGTAGATAAAGACTGAGAGAGAGAAAGAGAGAGAGACAGACGGATAGAGAACAAGAAAAAGAAACAGAAAGAGACCAAGAGAGAGGGGTGAGACACAGAGAGAGGAAGAGAGAGAGAGAGTGACATACAGAGACAGGGAGATGGTGAGAGAGACTACAGTGGGAAGGAGAGAAATAGAGAGAGAGAGAGAAAGTGAGAGACAAACAGAGAGAGAGAGAGAGAGAGAAGAGCAAGACAAATAGAGATAGGGAGATAGAGAGAAACTCAGAGAAAGAGAGAGAGAAACAAACAAAGAGAGAGGCAGAGAAAGACCAAGAGAGAGAAATAGAAAGAGACCAAGAGACTAAGAGAGGTGAGGGGGTGAGGGTTGAGACATGGGGAGAGGAAGAGAGAGAGAGAGAGAGAGAGAGACAAACAGAGGGAGATAGCGCTCGAGAGAGAGAAGAGTGGGAAGAAGAGAAAGAGAAAGAGGAACAAACAGAGAGAAAGAGAGAGCAAGACAAACAAACACAGGGAGATAGAGAGAAAGTGAGTGAGAGAGAGACAGAGAGACAGCGGGAAGGAGACAAAGAGAGAAAAACAGAGAGGTAGATAAAGACTGAGAGAGGGAGAGAGACAAACAGAGAGAGGGAGAGAGGGAGACGGATAGAGACCAAGAAAAAGAAATAGAAAGAGACCAAGAGGAAGAGAGAGAGAGACAGGGACATAGTGAGAGAGACAACAGTGGGAAGGTGAGACAGAGAGAGCAAGATAAACAGAGACAGGGAGATAGAGAGAAACTCAGAGAGACAGTAGGAAGGAGAGAAAGAGAAGAGAGAAACAAACAAAGAGAGACGCAGAGAGGGAGAGAAATAGAAAGAGACCAAGGGAGAGAGAGGAGGGGGATGAGAGACGGGGAGAAGGAGTGTAGTGGACCAAACAGAAAGGCAAAGACAAGGTATAAAAATAAGTTTAAATTTAATATAGTCAAAAAAGATATAATTTAACAAAGGCTCAAATTAGGCAAATTATTAACAAAAAAGCTGGGCCCAACTGGGGTAACTCAAAATCAAACTGAACAGAACAAAACTAACCCAACCCAGACAAAGGAACAGGTGTGTTTAAATACCTGAGGACCAACTAAAGCTAAACACAAGAGGGAGGAATTACACTAATTAACTAAACCAATAACTTAATCAAAGTAACAAAAAAGCAAATAATTATAATACAGAAAATAAGTGATAATAATGTGACCTTAACACAAACTAAACAAATTAACTTAGTAAAACAAAGTAAATAGTGCTGCTCCCCCCCCCCTTTGTTGAGTCCTGATGGTCTCTCCCAGGGTCCTCCGTCCGGTGCTCAAAAATACAAAAAAGAACAAGTGTAAGTAAATTTGACTTATATTAACTAAAATGTGTGCACTCAAATTAGAACATAAGTCCAAATAAAGGAATTAAATTATGTGTAGTGTAATTAACTTAATGTAAATAATGCTGAAAATTAAATAATACTGACACTATGGAGTGGGGGCAGAGGTATCCACCACAAGGAGGGAAAAAAGAGAGAGAGAGAGACTTCAACACACAGTCTGGGAGTAACCAGAGAGGAGAACGGACACAAGGAACAACTGCAAGCTTCCAGTCCATGTTTTGGTTAATCATATTAGATAGAATTACTAAAAACAACACTGTACATTTCTGGAGGTAACGCGGCACCTGCACGATTCTGTCAAAACTGAAAGTCTAAACCGCACTGTCTCCATGTTGACAGAGAACTTTAAAGCCATACTGCGGAACATATTACAACCAATTCTTAAAGGTTGTATAGAGGATTTTTTAAAGGGAAAAGAAATACAGCAACAGTCCTTTTTCAAATGTTGTGCATGCGTGACACCACCTTCCTCTTCCACAGCTCCCTCAGTAGAAACATCTCCTCCCGCCTCCTTACTCTAGAAATCATGCTTGTTTACAGCCAGCATGTGTTCAGAATTACTGCTGAAGTGACCTGTCTAGAAATAATTTAACGACCGGCACGTCAGTTTTTAGACTCTTTGCTTCATTCGCGCAATCGCTGGAAGAGATCTCCAAGAATCACGTGTTTGGCTTTGCTCCTTTTCTTCTTCTCTTCTTCTTTCAGCGACATCAAAAACGGACTTTCGTTTGTGGCGAACTGGTCGTGGATTTTTGTCCATCATCTCAACAAACTTTGTGCGAACTGCGAGGAAACTACAATTTAAAAAAGCCTCTAAGAACCGCTGCATAAACCAAATAATCCCTGCGCATCAGTTACACTAGAAAGGCAGGGAGTTTGACAACCTAACAGCCAATAGAAAATGAGGTAGCCTTGTTATCTATTGGCTGATGTTTCTCTGCCCTCACTATGTCCACAGATGACAGATTTTCATTCTATTTTATTTAATCAGCATAATTACAAGGCTGCTGCATTTCTGTAAGGGTATTTTAAACTTTCATTGACAATTTGAAACAAAAAAAAAATCCTCCATACAACCTTTAAATAACGTAGAGTTTATTGTTACTGAGGTTAGACTTCTGAACTTTATTTTAACACAATCTGACCAAAAAGACTACAACAGGTGAGAAGATTTTGGGCTGTTAGACAAGTTTTTCACACTTAAAATTACAGTTTTTCAGTCAAAATGTGTTGTTTAAATCCATCTTTTTGGCAATGTGTGTGTGTCTGCATTGTGTCTCCACGGTAACGGCTAAAGATTCCATCCTACAGGTTCATGTAGAACACCCCCAGCGTCTCTGTATCTTTAGATCTGGGTGATATTGCCTCCTAATGATTTTCTTTTTCTTTTTTGAAACACTGTCAAATGGTTTTCAGTATTGATTTCATGAACATAGACATGGCATACTTCAATAATAATTCTATAGGTGTTTTTCGGTCTGAAGTCTGAACTCTGCTCTGAACCGCAAGCTTTTACTGAGAGGAAAGACTGTAAGCTGTCTCTGATTAAAAAAAAAACACACACACTGACAATTAGAAATGCCGGAATCTCAGTCTTT